AAGCAATTCAAATTCACAGCATATACAGAGGAAGAGTTTAGCCCCTTTCACACATACTGTCTTTACTGGTAAATTACCGGTAAGTTACCATTAAGAGATCATGTGTGAACAGGACCTTTTCAAAAATCCCGGTAAATTTGTTCTGGCAATCATATCATTCTTATGGAGATGACATGATTAGCTGTTTACAAAGCTCCGCTGCTTTTTAATTAGTTTTTCTATGTAAATATGCGCTAGAGTGACATCTTTAACCATTGCGCCTCTAAAGCTTTTTCAACGTGTCAAGCTTCTCCATTCATCAGGACTGGAAAATTCTGATTGGCTAGTAATGTTAGTTTGGCTGAGAGTGAAAGCTGTGCTCCTCTCATAACATTGGTAGGCGAACTCTTGGACTCGAAAGTGATATCAACAAGTTATTTTTTTAAATGTAGCCCTGTGTCCCAATGTGCATACTATCCACCCAATCTGCCCTAAATAGTATTGAAAATTTCTACTATCACATAGAATTTAGGATGGATAGTATGCACATTGGGACGCAGGCTAGGATTATCTTTTTCCGCAGCCAAACACTGAACGCCGGAGATCCGGTGTAGTGACGAATTCTGACCCCCGCCAGATTATTACCCCCCTAGTATTCGTAGGTTTAGGGTTAGGTGTGGGGGAGGGGTTAGGATTAGGCAATCAGGTAGCGATTTCAATGAGGAGGGTAATAATTTGAGTCGAAAATGAGCACAACACCGGCACGGTGCCGGAGAACTTTAAGCCCTGCATTTATAATGTTACTAAATAAATACTGTTCTTTTCGAATTTCTATTAATCTATTAATCAAAGGATCCTGAAAAAATGCATCATGGTCTCCACAAAAATATGAAGCAGCACAACTGAGTTCAACATTGATAATAATAAGAAATGGTTCTTGAGCAACAAATCAGCATATTAGAATAATTTCTGAAGGATCATGTGACACTGACGACTTGCATCACAGGAATACATTACATTTTAAAATATATTACATCACAAAACAATAATATTTTTTAATACTTTTAATTGTAATAATATTTCACTATATTACTGATTTAACAGTATTTCTGATTAAACAAATGCAGCCTTGGTGATCACAAGCAACTTCTTTCAAAAACATTAGGAAACCGACCCGTCTTTTAAATGGAAATGCACAAAAAACGAGAATCGTCTGTTACAGCAAAAACTATCAGCCACCTGAAAGAGAATGAGAAATGCTTGCAGAAGAAGACAGCGCTGAAGACTGAACTTGCCAAATCCTCTACTGAACACTTTTAGCATCAACGACGTCTCCTGATATAACAAATCACACACACACGCAAGCCCAACGGCCTGTTAATGTGGTAATCAGCAAGCAAAGAACGACAAATCACACAGAAAAATGTTTCAAATGATCCGTGAGTACAAATCCCTCTCTAGTCCATCTACAGAATAATATCCCAGCAGACAGTGAAGCACTACTAATGTACCATTATTCACACCTGAGCTCACGAAGTGAAAATGTTGACAGCCGCTTTAAAAATGGATACATTTCAACAAGTTTCCACAATTAAACCGGATCCTTTAGGAGGGAAACAATAAAGAACAATGAAGGGAGTCTTCTTGGCGCAGTGGTTAGTGGCTGATACATTAAGCTTTGGTGCTCATCTAGGAATGTTAAGTTCTAGTCTCTCCCCAATAGTTTCCCCAATAAAAGGCAAAGAACCCTAAAAATGAGGTTTGTGAAAATTTTCACAATGCCAGGTCATTACATACAAAATACAGTGGCTCCAAAAAGTATTAAGACACTTGCAATAGCACTTAAAACGCATGCATGACACTTGAATTATCAAACTAAGCGGCATTTGAAAGTAGAGATTTATTCCCATCACAAACCTTTTAAACGTTGAGTCATTTTTGCAATGACTTTTAGCCTCACTAATTAGTTTTTCTGAAATGTTTTGCTTGAAGAGTGAGCTTGTACCATGTTTTTTAAGAAGTAAGTGCAAATAAATGCAACTTCTTTGATATTTTCTTGCACTGACATTTAAGTATCTAAATACCTTTTTGGGGACATACTGTGATGAACTGCTGTGATGAATATTGCAACTTCAAAACAAATAAATGGAACTTCTTTGATATTTTGTTTCTAATGCATTGATATTCACATTAAGTGTGACTTAAGTGTCCAAATACTTTTTGGGGGGACACATAATGGCAGAGAAGATAAACAAACCAAGCCGAATCGCTGAGGGAGATCATATTTAGTTGTGTCTTGCGGCTCCAAATTATTCTTATTTTCAGAGCACGTTCAGACTAATCCTGATTTACATTACATTAAGCACTATGTGTGTGTGTTTGTGTATATATATATATATATATATATATATATATATATATATATATATATATATATATATATATATATATATATATATATATATATATATATATAAGTTTTGGATTTTGTTTTCCCTTAATAATTAAAACCTTCATTTAAAAACTGCATGTTGTGTTCACTTGTGTTATCTTTTACTAATATTTAAATTTGTTTGATGATCTGAACCATTAAAGTGTGACAAACATGCAAAAAAAAAAAGAAATAAGGAAGGAAGGGGGCCAACACTTTTTCACACCACTGTATATATATATATATATATATATATATATACTGTATATGAGTGTGCACTAAAGCTGATTATAGATTCCTTTGCATTCCCCGTCTGCCCTCTATGCTACTTTCTGATTTTAATAAAGGCCAGAGAGATGGTGCTATGCAAAGAAACAGACACATGTCTACGCATGCCAAAAGCAATCTTCTCCAAGCTCCCAGCGAGACCCAGAGTCCCGCTGTCTCTCTGCAACAGCAACACACCCTTCAGATCCAGAACCAACTCATTCTGCACTGCAGAGACACTCAAAGACCAGGCTTATAATGTGAGAGATCTAGTTTTATCATGCTGCGGCACTTGCTTGCAGATCAGACGGGGTGTAAAACTTATTTTTATATTGCATTTCATTTGTGGAGCAAGCAGATTAATTCCAAAATTCTTTCGCAAGTCGTATTTTTGTATGAATAATCGAGAAGTGAAAAATCAGGATATGCAAATACTGTCATAACTGATTGGTGCAACAGCTTGGAGCATATTCAAACTGTGTGAATTGCACTTAGCAACAAAAAATGTGACAAAATGTGGAAAGCTCGACAGTGAAAACAGACAAAATGGACTGAATTCTAAACTACTGCATCCAATTATTATGAAAAATAATTGTTATTGACTTTACACATGAATAATAAGTATATAAAAAATGTGCATGTGACGTAGTTGAAAAGTCAACATTTTGGAAACATTCATAAATATTATGAATGGCATTCATAAACATCACAAATGCATTGACTACAATGTTCCCGGAAAATGAAAAATATAGCATACATTATAAAACAGCTGCATATTTTAAAACCAATTCAAATCAGGTACAATTTTACCACATTTTCTAAAAGTGGCCCCTGAGTAATTTGAGTATCCCTGCAGTCCATTATTCCTCTCACGGATAGAGACACGCATGTAAGACGTTTATGGACTGAGACAGAACCAGTCTAAACCTGCAGCAGAGAAGACCATCACAGCTGGACAAGGAACAAAGACTGGGTTCTAACCATGGAAGGTCTAGAAATTAGGTTGGGTAATGGATGAACATCAGTAAATATATTTTTTTCTGCTTCCACCACTAAGGTCTCAACTCAATAGTGCTCTAGTGACAAAGATGAACAGGGAATTCTGGAATCAGGTTTCTGAAAATAGTTTGTCTATGTAAATATGGAAGGGTCGTGTGGAATTTGATTGGTTCCATCATCTCAACACATCCATCAACACGTCCGTCCAATAAAACAACTGTGACTGTATCCTGCAGCTTGGAGATGTGGAAAAATAACTACACACACTCTCACAATGTCTAAAAACGGTTGTCTGTCTGACACTTCTCAGATAGAGACCATCTTCTGAGACCATCTTCATTGCCGCCTCCAAGAGTCGGTTAATTGTGCCTCATAATAAAGCAATTAGGATGCAAAAGAAAACCAAACGACCTCTGTTTTACTGTCACCCGTCTTAACGCAAACTAATTATCTTCAAACACTCAGCAAAAGCTTCCGGCACAAGATCCACTGCAGACAGTTCATTATTACAGAGACAGACACAGACAAACAGATAGAACGATAGATAGAACGATAGATAGAACGATAGATAGACAGACAGACAGACAGACAGACAGACAGACAGACAGACAGACAGACAGACAGACAGACAGACAGACAGACAGACAGACAGACAGACAGACAGACAGACAGACAGATAGACAGATAGATAGATAGATAGATAGATAGATAGATAGATAGATAGATAGATAGATAGACAGACAGACAGACAGACACAGACAGAGGAACAGACAGATATCCACACAAAAAGACAGATGGATAGACATAGACAGACAAATAGATGGCAATACAGACAGATGGATAGATAGATGGAAGGATGGATAAATGAATGGATAGACAGACAAATAGATAAGTATATAGTTAGAAAGATAGATAGACAGACAAATGGACAGACAGACGGACGGACGGACGGACGGACAGACAGACAGTTAGAAATAGTTAGAAAGATAGAAAGACAGATGGATAGACATGCAGATAGTTATACAGAGAGATGGATAGATAGACAGATAGATAGATAGATAGATAGATACATAGACAGATAGATAAAACAATTAACAGACAGACAGGGTCAAATTTATCAGTGTGACACGACAAACTATAGAAAGCGACTGAACTGTAAGCGTCCCTCTGTTTAAAAACAGCACAGATGACAGATGGTGAAGCGTTTCTGCAGTGTGATTATTCTCGCTCAGAGTTCAGTTTCGAAGGCCTGCAGTTCTAGATTTGGTGAGTGTGAACGAAACCCACGCACAGACAGGAAAAGTGTCCAAGCAGAACTTTTTACCTTTCCATAGTCATCAAACTCAGCGAAGAGCTTCGAGTCATCGTCTAAACTGTCTCCCGAAGTCTCCACAATCAGACCCACTCCATCGTCAAGAATCTCCTCTGTGGAAACACAAATAATTTTTTAATTTTAAGATAACTGCACTGAACATTGCAATGTTTCTGGATGATATATTAAATATGCATTTCTTTTCATATTTAGGCTATTTAATAATGTGTTCAACTACTAATACGAGTGTAAAGTTAAACACTTTTAAAATTTTTCTAAAAACTCCTTTAGAAAGAAAGCGCATGAACCTCTTGTTTATATTGTATAAAAGTGTTGCATTTTTACATACACTAGTTAGCAGTTATTTGGAAGCATTATATCATCGAATTATATCGTCAAACCAAAACACAAAAACAGTCAAATAAATGGGTCAAGCAGATCTCTGGCCGCCCCTCACCCTGACTCTGAGAGAAGATATCCGTATAGAGGTTGTCCACAGCGTCCGAGCGTCTCGGTGGCAGGAAGCAGAGCTGCCGGCGGTCAACAGGGGGCAGCGTGTTGACGGTGAGAGAGAGGGAGACCTGAGCGAACGCCACCTTCATGTCAGCGAAGGTCAGAGTGCGGGCGTCCTTCCCGTTCAGCTGCAGAATCTCATCTCCCGCATTCAGAGCTGCAATCATTTCAATACGGTAATATTTCATGAATAATTAAGTAGCAGAATATTGCAATCATAGACTTCGTGAGATATGCAAAATGGATGAAATGGTTAAATGCATAGTGAGCTTGCAAGGAATTAATAAAAACCAAAAAACAAATGAAGAATTTTTGAAGTTTAACAAAGGATATAAAAAAACTGAAGATCGTGAGTTTTTGGTCCTAAATACACCATGACATAAAAAAAGGACCCCTATTTCATTTCTTAAGACATGATTATGGTCTTATTTTGCGTGATTTATTAATGAATTAATAATAATTTTGTTTCTCCTCCTTGACCCATAATGAATACAATTAAAAACAAAACTGCAAAAATAAAAATAATAAATACAAAAATAGAACTACTGAAAACTGAAATAAAATGAAAGCTAATTTAAAATAAAATACATATTAGATTGAAAACTTGAAGTTAAAAACATGTTAATACTAAACGTAGAAATGTTGCATTGGCAATCAACTGAAATAAAATAAGCTTAAATAAGTAACTAAATTGAAAAAGCTGAATTACTAAAACTTCATTCTGATATGGAAAACCCACATAGCACAATCCAATAAGACCGCAACATAAAAAATTAAGTACTTCCCTACATTTTTTTCTACTTAAATATTCTGTTACAATTTGAAATATGTCTTAAAAGTAATACAATGTCCTGTCCTTTCTGATGTGAAGGCCAGCAGCAAAATAAATAGATGCAATAAAAAAAAAAGAGATTGTCTCTAGGTTTTCCATTTGGCCCTTCAGCTTGCAGGTTTGACCCAGTTCTCTGGGCGATGTGAAATGTCAGCAATAAGCCAGTCAGACCTGATCCTGCCACACTGATCACGCAGACATCACTCAGAGAAACGAGAGTCTTTTTCGGCATGTTGACAGCGTCTGGATGTCAACATAAGCTTGCTTTGATGGTCATTTAAAGGAACCATATTCTATATTTTGCCCTGAAATCCATTTATAATATTAGCTAATGTCCAGTGAAGAAAGTAAGAAAAATGCTGAATATAAATTTACTTAAAATTCATTCACTACCATAAAATAGTTCAGTGCAACGTGTTGTTGTTTATGTAGAGCACTTTAATCTCCAATGTTAGAATTAAATGGGCCATTTCTGCTACTGTACCTTTAAGGTTCCTGTGTGCAAAACGCCTGTAAATGCTCTAAAAAAAATCTTCAAAAACAAGCAAGGAAAATCCTGTTTTGCATGATACGTTCCATTTAATGCATCACGTTCCTCGTGTAGGTGCGTTGCAAGTACTGGTCGACCGATATATCGGCATTTTTCAAATATCGGCATTGGCCGATAAGTTTTTCTGTTTGGCCGATGTGTTCGAGGCCAAACTTTTATTTTGATGGTGCTGAGAACGGCAGCGCCTGAGTGCACACCGCTCACATTCTCCCTCTTGTTCGCTGTCGTCGTTCAGTTCTGTCTAATACGGATAGAATCAAAGGAATTAAAATGTATACAAAAAAGTATTATAACGATTTCTTTAATATTATTAGTAATAGAAAGGCAAACATTATAATACTTTCTCATTTGCTGTCAGCATTCAGCAAATACGCATTTGTATAATTTAAACAAATCTTTGAATGACTAATGAACATTTAATTTCAAAAACCTTGCAAACTTAGTCGGATCCAGTTGTGAGATCTTGTGAAGTGTGCATGTGTATCCTGCATGATCGTGTGTTCTCTGCGTGACGGTCGGTCCGTGAAAATTGAATGCTGACAGGAGGAGAGTTCAGCTTCACTGGAGATGCGCGATCGACAAACTTGAAACTAAGTTAGTGATTTCAAATTATGCTGCGTTTTATGCATTTGCCCACTGTCATATTCATGTCATTTTCATTGCGTGCTCTATGTAAAATGAGTGTTACCTTGGCTTTATTTGAAAGAAAAAAAAAACTTGGTTACAGTGTTTACTTCCTTTTTAATTAGATTTTTATTAAATATTTATTTATTGGTGAAAAATGCTTTGTCTTCTAAAGTCTAAGTATGTTTATTTTACACAATTATTTTTAATCCATTTTCAAATGATTTCAAATTTCTTAAATATAAATTAAAATAATTAAAATTATATCGGCCGCCCTGCTGTCAAAAAAACCCATATCGGTCGACCACTAGTTACAAGTACGGCACATCAGTGAATCTGACTTTAATCGCCTCTCTGATTCCTTCTATCGTTTGTCATTATTCAGAGTTTAGAGGGGTTGAGAATAAATCTGCAATCTTTGGCTCTCAGAAACCCCATAGAGCTGACAGCATGTTATATAACACCAGGAGAACAGCACAGATATCACAGCAATTACTTATACAGCTTGATTCCTAAGCAGATGCTCAGCAGACAGAGAGAGAGAGAGAAAGAAAAGAACAAACCAAGAGACAGGGGTGAAAAGAGAAAGAGAATGTAATTAGGAGGTGAAACGAGCTAATGAACCTTTAGCGAACGCTAATCCTCCAGCTCTCACGTCAGTGATATAGAGCTGCTGAACGCTGTCCTCCTCCACCACTGAAATGGAAAAACCTGAGAAAACAGAGATAAAGTGATAGACATCATAATCATAATGCTGTTCAGTTGCTTTGACACAATCTGTATTGTTAAAAGCGCTATATAAATAAAGGTGACTTGACATGTATAATCATGACGCAAACCTCATAGGGTTTGAACCTGCAACCTTTCATTTACAAGGTCAGATTTTTAAAAGGATAGTTCACCCAAAAATTTACATTTTGCATCATTTACTCTCCATCATGTCATTATGCTGGTCACACATTTGAATTCGTTGTTCTTCCATGGACTATAAAATAAATGATTGTAGAATGATTAATTTTTCCCAGCACTGTACCTTTAACTACTACCACCATACAGGTGCATCTCAATAAATTAGAATGTCATGGAAAAGTTCATTTCAGTAATTCAACTCAAATTGTGAAACTCATGTATTAAATCAATTCAATGCGCACAGACTGAAGTAGTTTAAGTCTTTGGACAAATTAGCATAATCTCTTCAGGATTTCCCACATGCAGTAATAAATAAAGCTGAATACAAAAATGCAAAAATAAATAACATAAATAATAATAATAATAAATACAAATGCAAAAATAATATATAAATAAATAATTGAATAAAAGTAACAAATATAATCTTCTACGACTGTTGTTATTATTAACTAAAAGTATAAAAAAATTGTTTTTAGTAATAGAAATAAAACTGAAATTAAAAAATATTAAATGAAAAAAACTTGAATTTTTTATTTTGCCTTTTACAACTAACTGAAATACATGAGTTGAAGTACTAAAATCACTAAAACTGAAATAAAATATATAAATAAATATAAAAATGACAAAAGCACAATGAAATTACTAAAACTTAAACTAAAATTAATGTAAAAATTGAAAAATAAAAGCAATAATAAATACTATAATAGTATATAAATAATACTAGAATACCATTGCTACAACTTATATTGACATTTTGTGATGTGGATGTAGAATCAAGGTAAATTGACTGTTTTCAATAATCACATCTCAACTCATCTGTCGAGTCCAAAAACATGCAGTTTACGGAGATAAAACTAGTAGGATTCAGTTGGTCATGTGATCTCACCATGTCGTCCTCCATGAGATGACAATATAACATACTCACATATAAGTAAACGTTTCATTGAAAAAATAATTTAAAAACTACTGGGAACACTTGTCATTTCCATTACTTTTCCAGGTACCGTTGTAAAATTCCCAGAATAAATAGGTGGATGTAAACCAGACATGATTTGATGAACATAACACATTTTTGGCTCTCACCATAGCCGATCATGCAGGACTCATCCCGATCAAACTGAATGACCTTCCTGATCTTACAGCACAGCTCGATTTCCTTATACAGCTGAGAAAAAGAGCACAGGACGTTATTCATTAATATTCCACGACTTTGATGATCCACATTCAAACAGCATAAACAACACGCACATGGGACGGCATGAAAGGGCGAGAGTGACAGAATACAGATCACATTTCACAGGCAGAGAACTTTATGTTCCCTCTTGATCGATTTTGTCTGACCTGGACACTCAGAACATAATAAATGAAGACACTGAGCAGAAGTTAAACGATGATGGATGTAGAGAAGTGAAGCTTCGAAAGAATAAAGCAATTCCATAGCTTAAAATTGTCATTTTTTAGGAGAGATGGAGGGAGATGGGATGAGCAAAACATCTCCTTTTGTGTTCCACAGAAAAAAATTAAGATTTTGTTATTAAAGTGTGAAGGAGAGAGGAAGAGACAGGGTGTTTGGATGAAGTGTGATGTCCCAGCAGGATGAAAGTAATGAGAGAGCATCTAAGCAGTGGGTGGGAGAGCGAGTTTAACTCCAAACCTACCAGATCATAAATATCCTCCTCCGGTTTGGGGATATAAAACTGCACTTGGTTCTCAATGAGGAGCTTAAGCCGCACGTAGTGTTTAGTGGGGTCCAGTTGGTGAGCCTGGAGAGAGACCAGGAGAGATGAAAGCAGACACATTTAATGGATGAAGAGCAACGCCAAGACATGTTACTGGGCTGCATCTTCTTCTCAGTGGGCCAGATGGACAGGAATCACACGCTAAAAGGCCCAAACGCTCATATCAGAGAAGATGCAGCACATTTTCATTCGGCGTGCAGCAAGAGGAAAGCAAATAAATTGCTTTATACAGGGTGGACACATGCTTGAGACTTCAAAAACCCTCTGAGGAACGCTTTGAGGAACACAGCATCTGAGTTTACTACACCAGTGACCTTCAAACTGACATTCAAGCAACCTGGCATCAGAAGAGAACGATGAATGTTTCTTGCACTAGAAAGATCTTGAGTTTCTTGGCGTTACCTTGCAGATCGTTTCCAGCATGTCGAGGGCCGACTCTCCGGGTTGGATGATGGCTAACACAGGCTGGTCGTTTGGCAGCAGAACCCATGATGGAGTGAGGTGGTCTCTGGACCAGATGTCATGATCTGCGCTGGGTCTTGGCAGACCTTTCACTGGGGTCTTGGTGTCTTTCTGTAGTGTGATAAATGAAAGCACGGTGAAGCCGCAGCAGTGAACGAGGCCTTTAGAGATGCTATTAATCATGTGAAATGATGATCATCCTCATCTCATAATTTCTAAGAACTCATCGCCTATCTGAGGTGCACTGTGTGCTAATAACTTCTAGCATAAAATGAGATATAATTGAAATATCGTACTAGCATACTACATTATTTCTTATTTTGTGCATAGTATGTACACTTTCTGTATGCATAAAACACATTTTCATACATGTAACAAAATGTACAGTATGCAACTAGAGCATGTGTACTGTTTCCCACTTGATAGTCAAATTCCATTGTGATCATTGACCTGGAAGTAATATTAGAATTAGATTTTTAAACATTTGAATGGACTGCTAAAAGTTACACTTTTACAAAAATTGGATTGTAGTATACATTATGCTACTATTCAAAAGTTTGGGGTAAGTAACATTTGTATTTATTATTTTTTTTAAAGAAATTAATACTTTTATTAATCATTGATGCATTCAATTGATCAAAAGTGGCAGTAAAGATGTTTAGAATGTTAAAAAAAGATATTTAAAATAAATGCTGATCTTTTGAACCTTTTCAAAGAATCCTGGGAAAAAAAATTGCATCATGGTTTAAACAAAAATATGAAGCAGCACAACTGTTTTCAACATTGATAATAATAAGAAATGTTTCTGAGCAGCAAATCAGCATATTATAATGATTTCTGAAGAATCATGTGACACTGAAAACTGGAGTAACGATGCTGAAAATTCAGCTTTGATCACAGGAATAAATTATATTTTAAAATATATTCAAATACAAAACTGTTCTAAATAGAAAATTGTAATAATATTTCACAATATTACTGTACTTTTGATCAAATAAATGCAGCCTTCGTGAGCAGAAGAGACTTCTCAGAAACATTCAATCTTACTGACCCAAAACTTCTAAACATCTGAACACAGCCATTAAACATGGATAATAATGCACTGTAATCTCAGCTACCATTCCACCATCTTTCTTTCTCTGCTTATGATGGAGTGAGTGAATCAGAACATCGACACTTTTATCTGCGCCCCAGGTCAGTGGATTATAGCACAACCATCTCTACCGTTCCTACACCACAAATGCCCACACCTCCGCCAACGCTAGGGATAAATATACGCCCACATCTCCGCCAACCTACACCAGAGATCCGGCCAAGAGCGCATCTCTCTGAACATGGCAGCTTTGATTTGGTGCAGTGGTCTCGTATAGTATTTTGTGTGTTTTTACCACTTTTATAGATAGTGTAGTATTGAGAGATGCATGTTTCTTACCGTCGTATCACTAGAAGAACCCTCAAACGTGCCTTCTAGAGGACTTTTAACTGGATCATCTCCTTCTGCAAAAACCTGTTTAAAAATAACATCTAACATTCAGCAGTCACCCACCAAACCACGAAAACCAACTGCATGTGTTTTATGTAGTATGCATTTCATCAGCTTGTTGAAAAATGTGCATTGTATTTTTTTGAGCAGAGCCGGTTGATCTCTGCATATTCATGTTTGTGTGTTCTGGAAGAAAACACTAAGTGTGAATTAGGTGTGTTTGTGTGTAGTTTACCTGGTTAATGCTGGGGTGACCTTTACTCTTTCTCTTGGAGTGGGTGTCCAGACCCCATAGTGAGGAGAAGCGACTCTTGCGTTTGCTGGTGGAGCGCGACATCGCCTGCGTCCGACGCCTCACGCCGCTCTCAGTGCGAGCCGCCACCTACAGACACAAAACAGCTGCATGAGGTACGGGGACAACATTCATACTGTTTGTCCCAGCGATCAAACTGACTAGACGGCTCCTAGCAAGAGTCTGAGGTATGAACACAGCTGCTCGGTGAAAACTCATTCTCAGTGATTCGCTCACACTGATGTTCAGTCGTCAGCTTCATTCACAAGTTATTCAAGAATCTGGGTATAAATGGGTCATTAGTTGATCTAAATGGGTCATTAGGTGGTTTAAATTGGTCAGTAGCTGCGGGTCTAAATTGCTCATTACAGGTGCAAGCTGGTTTTTAGATAGTCTAAATGGGTCATTAGCTGGTCAAAACTGGTCATTTGCTAGTCTAAGTTGGTCATTAGCTAGTCTAAACTGGTCATTAGCTGCTGGTCTAAATGGGTCATTACGTGGTCTGAATTGGTTATTAGTTTAAATTGGTCATGAACTGGTCTAAATGGGTCACTAGCTGGTCTAAATCATTCATTAGCTACTCTAAATTGGTCAGTAGCTAGTCTAAACAGGTCAAAAGCTGGCCTAAACAGGTCTTTTGCTAGTTTAAACTGGCCATGAGCAGGTCTAAATGCTTCATTAGCTAGTCTAAATTGGTCATGATCTAGTCTAAACTGGTCACTGGCTGTTCTAAATGGGATATTAGTTGGTCTAAACTGGTCTTTAGTTGGTCTAAACAGGTCTTTCGCTGGTTTAAACTGGCCATGAGCAGGTTTAAATGCTTCATTAGCTAGTCTAAATTGGTCATGATCTAATCTAAATTGGTCACTGGCTGTTCTAAATGGGATATTAGCTGGTCTAAACTGGTCAAAAGCTGGTCTAAACAGGTCTTTCGCTGGTTTAAACTGGCCATGAGCAAGTCTAAATGCTTCATTAGCTAGTCTAAATTGGTCATGATCTAATCTAAACTGGTAACTGGCTGTTCTAAATGGGATATTAGCTGGTCTAAACGGGTCTTTCGCTGGTTTAAACTGGCCATGAGCTCTGGTCTAAATGGTTCATTAGCTAGTCTAAATTGGTCATGATCTAGTCTAAATTGGTCATGATCTGGTCTAAACCGGTCATTAGCTTGTCTAAATTGGTCGCTAACTGGTTTAAACGGGTCATTAGCTGGTCTAACTGGTCATGAGCCGGTCTAAACTGGTCATTAGCTGGTCTAACTGGTCAAGAGCTGGTCTAAATTGGCCATTAGCTGATCTAAATGCATGCTTAGCTGGTCTGAACTAGTCATTAGCAAAGCAAGCTAGATGTAAGCTAGTCTAAACTGGTCATCAGCTGGTCTAAAGTGATGTTTACTGGTCATTAGCTGGGCTAAACTAGTCTATCCAAAATACAGCTGCTTTTCCTGATTTTTGCTAGGAAAGCCATTGTCCTGATCGGATATGCTTGAGATTTTTTCCCTCAGCAAACACAAAGCTCACAAACACTGATTGTTATTAATGGTGACTGTGTAATCAATGCGTTTTTTTGTAGTTCTAATGCTTTTAAATCACTAATAAAATAAGAAAGCAGAAGCATGTGCGTTTGCTGAACACAAAGATGCAAGACAAATACCCATCACACCATTTCAGGATAAAGTTTCTCCATAAACTGCATTCAGTCAGTCTACAATTGTTCTTGCTCTTATGTTCACAAAAGAAATGTCAAGAGGATGGATTTCATCCATCACCGTTCTTTCATTCTTTTTCAGCAAAAACACTTTAGTAGATGTGACTTCCTCTACCAAAATCGAGTCCGATTTTGGTGGGACATCAACTTTAGAAATAAACAAACACACATATTCATTAATAAATAAGCAGCAAACACACAAAAACAACTTGCTTCCTGTGGTCACTCGGGTCCGGATGAATTTTAAAGGTTAGTGAAGTGCTTGGAGAGTTCTTTTCAGTGTCATTCAAAAATTATACACGCTCGCTGTGTTGAACGCGCTGTGGCATTTCTGGGTCTCCTGATGGAGAAAAGCACTCCGGCTGCATCAAAAACCCTCTCCACTGCTCTGAACCGAGCTATTATTCGTGAAGAACAGCACATGGGCCAACAGCACTTCATTTGGACTCAACACTTATCCTCTCTCTCCATCCTCTAAAAATGTGAATGCTGAAGAACATCCCCACCCCCTCCACCCCAAAAAAATCATCCAAGCTGTATAGACAAAAATAAAATCTCCCTGTATCCCAGTGTCCTCTAGCTCCTGCATAGAACGCCAGAGCTGGAGGCGAATCTGAGGATGGATGGTATTGATCAGCCGGAGCCGTGGCCCACATCCAAGAGAAAATGCACCGACCAACCTTTCAACTACGGTTTCTTTTTATGCCAAAATCCATTACCCACGTACACCAACACTGTAGGGTGGGAAGGAAGCAGGTTAATACATGCATTCTGGGTAAAAATAGAGCGATACTGATGTTCTTGATGTGGGTTTCTAAGCCATGCTGTTTGAAATACACTAGATACCAAACGTTTAAAAACTTATCAAAGTAAGTTCCCTTTAAGCCACCAGAGAGCTGTTTTCTATGTCTACTTGAAAGGAGAAAGATTGAAATCTCTAAAACTGTTATATTATTATATTTCACTAAATTCTGACAAGAATTCAAAAATAACTTCTGTTTCTTTTGCTCAATCATGCAAATCATTAGAATTTTTCTCTATATGTTAACTATTTTTTTATTATTAGAGAATAATATATAAATACAATTTAATTTAATACATTTTAATTAGGGCTGGGCAAGTTAATGCGTTATTATCACGTTAACGCATTAATTGATTAACGGCGACAATAATTTTATTGCGCATTAACACAGTTTTTTATTAGGCCTATTATGAAAGGCCAGGGCCGGCTTTGGGGGTCAAACGTGCTCGGGCACGGTTAAGATTGCCTAGTGTGAGTACACCCTTATTCTCCCGCATCCCGCACACACGAGTCTCTACCCGCCCGCACCCCCATCAAGTGTTGTCCTGTGCCGCACTCTGTTGCGTTGGGTCCTGCGATAGTGCAGGTCTCTGCTCGGAAGGTGCCCGTGTTATAATGTTATGATCGAGGCTCTGGACTCTGAGCATAACTTGTTTTTCTATTACAAACTATAAAATATTTTCTATAATAATGCCCTGGCAGTGGCAAATAGCTTTGGTTTTATATTTAATTTGACTACATTAATATTATAAGTTGAGATTTACAAGAAATATTTTAACTGCTACTATGTAAAAGGAATACTGCTGTAAAAAAAGCACCTTAAGTGTTTGCAAACCAAATTGCACTTTTGTTCATATAGCAGTACTTTTAAATGAAAAAAGTGCACAATATATACAAACAAACACACAAAAACTAACATATTTTAATATAATAAATAATAACTAAAGTTAATTTCTATAAAATAATTATAGGTTTTAATATATATTTTAATATTAAACAAAAATAAAAATATATTTTTGAAATACATAAAATTTCATATTTATAAGAAATATATAACATATATACAAACACACACACACACACATATGAAATCTAATATATATATATATATATATATATATATATATATATATATATATATATATGATGAAAATATATTATATATATATATATATATATATATATATACTGTATATTCTATTTATAATATATTTACATACAAAAGACAAGAAATAAAGTATTTGCAAAAAATAGGAACAAAATTATGGAATAAATTATGGAAAACTGAGAGATAATTACCAGTGCATGGAAGGAAGAGACTGAAAAAATGCCCAGTCGGCCCATGGCCAGTTTGGTGGGACGGGAGGCGAAGGCCAGCAGGCGTTTGGGGTTGGGAAGCTCGCCGCCCTGCAGGCTGGACAGGTAACAGCGGAAGCGGAACAGATCCATGTGGAACTGCTCTAAATTCTGCTCCCACAGGAAAATCTGTGAGGAAAAGAAGAGAAAAGGTTATTGGTTAGAACACGGTTTACAGCAGGCCAGTGGCATGTCAGAGTTGTCAAAATGATCATTTCATTCTCTCGAAAACAAGGTCAAAACATTACATTTAGCCTTAAAGGACCATCTCTAGATATCTAGAAGCTTCCGTGCCTTGTGTTTGGTCTGGTTTGATCGTATAAAATGGTGTTTGGAGGGCAGTGGAGTGGGGGTTTATACACCACAGCGTCTCCTCCCAGCCACTCTGGGATGGATGTTTTTTTGGAAGACGCGGCGGAGGGGGCAGCGGTCCAGACAACACACAAAGTAGCAAACAACAGCGCCACACATTCCACTGGCAGCGAGGTCTGGGACTCCCTAGGAACTCGAGGAGTCCCCTGGCTGCCATTCACCAGGGCACAATGCCTAACCCGATGCTGCCAAAATTAAAAACGCACAGGCACCCGCTAACCCTCCTCCTGATGGGCCGCGGGCCATTCTGAGCTCCGCTTCTTGTGTAAACATCCATTGAGTGGAACGTGAACTTTTGCAGCAAGTGTGTGGAGTGAATCAATGTTCTGTCAACATTGTGACAGCATCAGAATTACAGTGATGAAAATCTGCAGTAATACAGCGGAGGATGTTAGTGCCGTAACGCTTTACGATATTGATACAATAATTATGGAAAACAAAGCACTGGCAGACTCTTCAACAGCCAAACTAACACTTTTTGTCCTAACCAGATGCAACCAACATTTAGCCCCTCACTTGTTTCTCTTTTCATCATGTTGTGCTGGATTTCACTCCATATTATTGTATATTAAAGGTGCACTCATTATTTTTTTGCAGCAAATCAGCATATTAGAAAGATTTCTGAAGGATCATGTGACACTGAAGACTGGAGTAATGATGCTGAAAATTCAGCTTGAGCAGAAGAGACTCATACTTTTTTTAAAATATAATCACATAGAAAACAGTTGTTTTAAGTTGTAATAATATCTCACAATTTTGCTGATTTTACTGTATTTTTGATCAAATAAATGCAGCCTTGGTGAGCAGAAGAGACTACTTTCAAAAACCTTAAAATAAAATTTTTGTTGACATTTTATTCTTAAACATCTGCTTTTATTGTAATTTTAAACAGATTTGTATTTTTTTTATTATATTGTATTTTATTTATATTTTTATGTTATATTCTAATATATATCTTTATATTTTATTCTATAAAAAAATCACCTCAACTTCAAATATGTTCTGACTAGATGTTTTGATTTTGCTGATGTTGATTTTGCTGCTTGGTTACACTTTCAGTGGATGTTTTGACTCTAAACACGTTGGATTGTGGGTAATTCATGTCCAAACATGGTAAATAACCATAACCAAACAACTAGCCTGCTCCAGAATGGTCTTCCTCTTCTTGGCGTCAGTGACAGCAGAGAGCTGCATGTCTCCCATTTTCTTCATCTTCTCATCCATGTCAATCTTCTGCTCAAGCTTTCGGATCTCGGCCCGCAGCAGACGCACCGTGTCTTCGCGGTGGTGTTGTCGAGCGACGGCCGCAGCGCAGGCCGAGTGAATGGCCGTGATCCAGTTCTCAAGCTCAGTTTGGCTGCAGGTCTACAGAAAGAGGTCAAGGGTCAAAGGTTTAATAGCATATTAACACATTAGTCTACCCTTTCTGGCAGTATGTATATTATGCACGATGAACAAATATTCTATATGCATGAAATATGTGGTATTTCAGCTGGTATAACATGGCATCCCACAATGCAATGAACTCGATTTGACTTTCCATTCTCAGACTGACAAATAACTAGGGAGACCATATGTCCTTTTTTTTTATGGACATGCCCTGGCTGGGATTTCTAAATTGCCTAAAATGTCTTGTTTTTGGCTTTGTTTCCTATTGTTTTCATACATACTGATGGTAATTACTGAAAACTAATTTGACCAATAGCATGTAGGCATTGTACATTATCGACCAATAAGAGGTGGGATCTATAGAAAACAGTCAAAGCAATGCAAATATGCATACATGTAATGTATGAGAACTGTAGAGAAACAGTCAATCGGAAAACAAAGCCAAAACCAGAACATTTTAGACAACTTAGAAATGGATGCCAGGACATGTCCAGGAAAAATAGGACATATGATCACCCTAAAATATAGTTAGAAGTAACTACAGCTGTCAGTTTTGACTTTCTGTTCCGCTTAAAAGGTAGCAAATTAAAAACATTTATTAATAATAAATAAATGGACCACATGATCTGTTGAGCCTTGACAACAAAGTAACACACTAATGTTTATTGTGACATAACACATACTGTAAAAAATTACATATACATTTATGCATTTATCCAAAGCAGCTAACAAATGAGGAACAAGAGCAATTTGTCAAAGAGCCAACAATGCCAGGTTTATTAGACAACTAGATTAGGAAAACATAGAAGGCTGCGATCAGTGTATATGGTATTATTCTGGACATATTAATGAGTCAAATGTTCATACATGAAACTCAGTCTGTTACATTATCTCTTCAGTTTTAGTATATGAGAAGAGTTTTGCATGGGATGTTCAGTTACCTGAAAAAGGAAGGAGTCTCCGAGCGAGTTACTCAGGCAGAAGACAAAATCTTTTTTGGGGTGTTCTGGGACGGCCTGGACAATGCTGTTCTCGGCCCACACGGCATGTTTAGGGACGCTGTTGTGATCAATGCCCGACCGGCCGTCCGTCTCATAGAAAAACAGAGTGCATCCTGGGAGGACAAATTAGAACATTCACTCAAGCATCAGAAATTCAAAGTTGTTCACATGAGTTCAATTAACACTACAGATCGTCTCTCAGCTGCTGTTTCCAGGGGAACAGGAGCAGGATATCCAATAGATTGTGGAGTTTTACGGCTTTATTGACTGAGCTCTGTCCTCCAGTGGCCAAAATAAGAAATGCAGCACTGCTTTCTTAAATACGGCCTGGACGATGCTGTTCTCGGCCCACACGGCATGTTTAGGGACGCTGTTGTGATCAATGCCCGACCGGCCGTCCGTCTCATAGAAAAACAGAGTGCATCCTGGGAGGACAAATTAGAACATTCACTCAAGCATCAGAAATTCAAAGTTGTTCACATGAGTTCAATTAACACTACAGATCGTCTCTCAGCTGCTGTTTCCAGGGGAACAGGAGCAGGATATCCAATAGATTGTGGAGTTTTACGGCTTTATTGACTGAGCTCTGTCCTCCAGTGGCCAAAATAAGAAATGCAGCACTGCTTTCTTAAAGAGAATCCAATATAATGTGCACACACTTATTGGATTATTTTTTCAGCTTTGATTTTGTTCTGTTTTCACACTGTTGGAAAAGATACAGAGCTTTCACTGTCTGTATCCAATTATGAGAAACTTACTATCAGTATTGGGAGTAACGCATTACAAAAGTAATAATATTACAGTAGTATATTACTTTTTGCTGTAACGCAGTAATATAACGCATTACTAATAAAATTTGGGTAATATTACTCGTTACAATCTCAGTAACGCAAGTTACAACAACATATTTTAACTCAAAATTAAGTGGTGAATTTACCAACACCGCAAAACAGCACCAGAGAAAAAATTCCGCGGGTAAAATAGTTCGTCTATCTCCTGTTGCTGGAATTAGATGGTTGAGATGACTGCAGAGACGGATTCTACATTTGTGAGATGGACACGCTCCTGTTATTTTCAGATTGGAGGAAAGGATAAGAATGCATAGTCAGGTGCAATATGTGTGACACCAAACTCTCAACATGGAGAAATAGCACGAGTAAAACCTGGTAACACCTGGACTGGTGCCACTAACACTAAGCTATCGGAGAGAGCTGCGGGGTCGGAGAAGAGAAAAAGGCGGCGGACGAGCGCAGACAAGCATTTTTATTAAATCATAGTGTATATATAAAATGAATGAATATGCTAAATATTTGACTATTTGAATATTAAAGTAACGGAGTATTTTTTTGTTGTTTGTTTCCGCTGTTCGATCGCGCCAGCGCCTCACGCACACACACAGGCCTACAGCATTGCAAACGTTGCAGCCTGTTCATTATCAGAATAAAATAGTCAACCAAACGTATAGATACACTGGTTAATTTAAATAGTGCATACTGCGTACAAATCCGTGCCATTCAGCCCGAGCTCGGGCCAAACACACATTTGCTCATGTGACGAGGATGTTTTTTAAGCACGTTGTAAGCCTGGTTTGCATAATAAATAATAGTTTAGCATTCAAATACATCGCAAATATGGACACATTTAATGGATTAATGCCGAATGAGAGAGGTAGGCTGCGCGAGAACGCCGTTTGCGTTCAGTTTCGCATTGAATTAGCCTATTCGTTTTGGCTTGTTTAACAACTTACATTTTTCATTCTTGTTTTCTTCTGAAACCGTTCAAAATAAGCCTATAGGCTAGTAGGTATTGTATTTATTGTTTGCACATTATAACATTTCGCTTTATTTACTGGTGCTATTTATTATTATTATTAATGTAATAATGCGGTTTGTGCTTATCTGTGTTTAACCTAAACTACAACGTAATATTAATGTAGACCTACATAACGGTATCTAAATATGATTTTATAATTTTATGCTATAGACCTACCAAATTACCCTCCACTGGATGTAGAATGAGCAGCAATAAACTACACTTTGGCATTTTATAATACTAATGTGGATATTTTGGTGAAAGTAACTCAAAAGTAACTTAAAAGTAGTGTAACGCATTACAATTCAGAGACAGTAATATTGTAATGTAACTAATTACTTTCAAAAGACAGTAACTAGTAAAATATAATTATTATATTTTGGAAGTAACTTGCCCAACACTGCTTACTATATACTATCGTTTGAGACAGTATATAGTAATTTCTTGAGAAGAAATTAATACTTTTATTCAGTAAGGACACATTAAGTTGACAGTAAAGACTTTCATATTGTTACAAAAGATTTTTATCTCAAACAAATGCTGCTCATATAAACTTTCAATGCATTAATGTATCCTATAAGATGGTTTCCACAAAAATATAAAGCAGCACAACTGTTTTCAACATTGATAATGATCAGAACTGTTTCTTGAGCAGCAGATCAGCATATTAGAATGATTTCTGAAGATCATGTGACACTGGAGACTGGAGTAATGATGCTGATCAAATTCAGCTTTGATCACAGGAATAAATTACATTTTACAATATTCACATAGAAAACAGTTATTTTAAATCGTAATAATATTTAGCAAAATCACTATTTTTACTGTATTTTTTATTTTAAAAATGTAGCTTTGGTGAGTGAGGAAATTAATTTTTTCACAAATATATTTTGAACTATTTTTTTTTTTAGCACTTCTGCCCTAATTTTTGGAGAACGGTAGAAAATAAGGAAAAATAAGTATGGGAAATTTCTTAAGCCAGAATATTTAACAAACAAGTGTGTTAGAGGTAAAATAGTGAATGCTGGGCGTTAAATTCTGAAGAGTCTTTTCTGGACCTACCCATATAACACAACACAACAAACATAATCCTCCTCTTCTTTTTCAAACGTTTTCACAGGAAGCTGTAAAACCTGTTTACTGTGTCAGGTAACTGCTCACATCTCTTTCAGAAACACCACACACACACACACACACACCTTTGAGGGACACCCAGTAGCTCTTCCACTTGCGGCGAGGGGCGAGCTCCACCTTCTTGTTTTTTTTATGCACCAGGAAGTTTTTGACAGCGAGGCGTCCAGCTTTGCGTACGGTTCCCTGTACAGCGGCCACGTTCAGCAGAGGGTCGGTGTGGTAAGCAGAGCTCAGGGTCACACTGCTCTGCTCGTCGCTGAACGCTGAGCTTCTCTCCTCGGGAACCTCCACCGGACTCACGTTCTGCTCCAGCTCCTGACGGAAGTTCTCATAGACACCCTGACCAGACACACACACAGGTCCAGCACCACTGTTATCACTAAACTACATCACAAACTTACAAATAACATAGCGCTTGTCTCATGGAAATAAAGTGCATTTGGATATAGTTTGCTCTCTGGTCTCTTTTTCTACATAATTTACCATTCATCATTTAGAATTTTATTTTATTTTTTTTCAATCAATAAAACCGTAATTTTATTTTTTATTTGCATATATTTAATTTTAATGAACATTATTTGACAATGTTGGCTATAATGACCATCATGTCACAATATTTCATTAACATGTAATAGAATTTGGCATATTAAAATAAAACATTAAAATAAAATCATATAAACAAATTTTTAGATACATTTTTCTAAATATTGGTTTTTTTTTTACACTTTTTATTTTATATTATTTTATTTATTTACCCCATCAAGTAATGAAAAAAAAATGAAGGAAGGAAGGATTTATCAAAATTATTAAAAACTTTAATTCACATTAACACTGCAGGTTGTTTTTTTTATAACATCATGCCATTTCTTAAAAACCATCAACTCTTTTTCTTTTCCTTTTTACCCTTTTCATTTTTGTTTATTTATTTTTCAGATACACATTAATATTCTGACATAATATCATACTTTATTATTTATAAATATTTAATTTTGTTTGCATGTATTTTATTTAAATGAGCATTACTTATTTGACAGAAGGTTTCCCACTGATGTTGTGGCATGATGTTCACTTGGCCAGAATGTTCATGCACTGATGCGTTCCTGCACTGACGTTGCATCTATCTGATATTACTGTATGTCTACTGATGTCTGAATGGAACGTATTATAAACTAGGAACTGAAGAAACAGCAGGAATAAATCACCCTGCCCACCTGTGTGCCATCTGAGGGTCCCGCTCCAGCACCGCTGCTGCTCCCACTGTCGCTCCCTGCGAAGGCGCCCCCTGCTGACGTGGAGTAAGCGGAGAAAGACACAGACATGGTCTTATAGCGTCGAGCGTGGTGCTGAGACGCCTCGCTGTCCCCCGTCAGCCCATCGATACCACTGTCCTCATAATCACTGCCATCTCCTGCTGTGACATCCTAAACATGAAATAAATACATAAAAAATAAACATTTACCATGATCATTTGTGATAATGATTTAATTTACATCATTTTATAAGTATACATTTAAATTTAAGTTACAGTAAATTAGAGTAATTTCTAGCAAAAGAAACAGTCACAGAAGTCTGATTCCAGGATCTGGATCATCCGAGAGAGAGCAGGAAAATACAGCCACCACCATATGGACTTGGACAGAGATTGACAGCTACTGTGGTGGTACTATAGTATGGTAATATTAGTACCATGGTACTTTGATATAGCATAGAATTGACAAATTACTTAATAAAATGTCCTTAAATTAAAATTCTAGTACCTTGGTGCATGTTCTTCTAACCATGGTAGTATAATAATTTTAACAAATTATTTTATCTATAAACACACCATTATATTTCAATCATTTTAACATATTTTTATACTGTATATGTACAAAATAGAAATACCATCACATTTTAAAATAAATTATTGGGAATTTATGTTATCTATATAAAAACACATAATATTAATACCATACCAATACTATAAAAAAATATATAACATAAATGCCATATAAATACAGATATTGTAAAAAAAAAAAAAAAAAAAAAAAATTTTAAAAAAAAAAAAAAAAAAAAAAAAAAAAATATATATATATGGCATTCTATTTTTATACTTTATAATGTTTATAACATAATAATTTTATATTATTTGATTTTTTACATATATTTTATTTTTAAAAAAATACAAAAAATATATATATATATCATTATATTTTTATAAAATTTTTGCCATTTTTTTATTATATCTATAAAAAAATGTCAAATATATATTATATTTTATAACTATTTTTATATATATATATATATATATTATTATTATTTTATTTTTTTTATTTATAAAAATATAAATATAAACCATTGTATTTTTTTTACTTTACACCAACAGCTGACTGGGATGAGTGCCTTGTGAAATCATAATACTGTCCTGTGGGAAACAACAGTGTCTGTGTGAACTCGCACACAAATTAGTCATTCATATGTATAGTCTCTCTGCATGAGGAGATTCAGAGGATTCTGGGGGATTAACCGCAGTCAACATTCATAGCAAGACTAAAATTCCCTGGTGTACACCTACACTAACACAACATTACACTCACATTCTTACTACACACCTACGGGCGTTTACACTGTTTGAATGATTGGAGTCATTGAGTGTCAAAGTCATTCACTTTCAATGAGAGCCGCTGATCAGAAGAGTGAGTAGCCTCAAAGTTCACTACCAGCAGAAGCGCAGATAGTCAAGCTCATGTTTATCAAACAGAAAAGGCTACTAGCCTTTTTAACCGCTGACAGTGTGAACAGAATATTTTTACACTAGTTTTGAGGAAGCTAGTTTTATTTTAAAGTAGTTCGATTTCAAGGACCCTATAATTTCAAAAGTACTTACACTTTACTAACACCTGAAACCTTCTCCAGTTTGTGTTTTGATCATTTTAGCTTAGCTAACTACACTGAATATCCCAGACAACTGCCGGTCTAACAAAAATATAAAGAATATTTCAAATTTTTATAGATAGAATATTTAAATCAAAAGAAATAATTATAAAATACAATGGTATTTATATTTTATAATTTTTATAGATAGAATGTAGAAAGCAAGTAATTATACAAATATAACCGTATTTATAATTTATATTTTTATAGATAGAATATAGAAAAGCAAATAATTATGAAAACATAAAAGCATTTATAAATGATATTTTCATAGAATGCTAAAACAAAACAAATAATTATAAAATATAATGGTAGTTATATTTTTATAGGTATGGCACTGATGAACCCGGAGACACTTTGCACTTGCACATTCTTTGAACTTTAGCACTTTTTTGTGGCCTCGATTAAAAAATAAATAAATCTAAACCAGCTTTTGCCTAAATGTTTGTGTGCAGATCCTTTTTTCCAGTTTTGCATTTGGTTCGGATCTACACACCTGGACAATCCGTCTACATTTTTGCATGGACTGTGTTTGGTGCTACTTTATTCATCACACATTATTAATAATTTTTTACATATAAAATATAAAAATGCAAATAATTATAAAAACATAAATGGCATTTATATTTAATATTTTTAGATTAAATATAAAGAACATATAAAAATCTAATGGTATTTATAAATGTTGCGAAATACAACCGTATTACAGCTAACCAGAATGTATTTGGTGTTTAATATTGGAGTAGTGACAAATAAGATTAACTGTGGGTGGGGCTACCCAATCCAAACTCACCTGTATGGTTTGTGCCCGCCTCCCTTGCATAACTCCTTGATGATTGGTCGGTCCCTCCGACAGACAGTGAGATCGGCGGCAGGGCAGTGTATACGCGCTGTATGCGGCTCCGTCGTCCTCACAGGGCGAGATCATCTTATCCTCGTCACCTTTTCTGCTTGTGCCGCCGCCCTTGTGCCATTTGGCATAGCGTCCGTGTGTGGGCCTGCAGGCGGGGCTCTTCGGTCCGTAGAGTTCATCTAAAGAATTGGCTCGGTTTGAGTCCAGCAGCTCCTGAGCGGACGACTGTAAACGGGTTTCGCAGTCATCAGGCGTGTCTCCAATCTCCTCCGTGCTGGTCAGGTGCTCCTGGCTCAGGTCGGATAAGGACACCTCCAGCGAATCCTCCCTCCACATGTCCGCAGACTTAGAGCGCTTCTTTTTAAAGCTGGACGCCTCTAGGGAACTGTCCCGTGTGCGTTGGACGAGTGTCGTGTCCTCCGGCGGCTCGGTGTCGTCCTGCGTGGCTTGTTTGGCGGTGGTGGCGGGCGAATTGGCCGGATGGTTGTGGAAGGACATGGGTCGGAGATTCATGGCCACACGGTCCACCCAAATGGGGCTGCTGAAGTTGGGCAGCATGTCCGAGTCGTTGAAGGGCTCCAGGCCGTGGTCAGCCAGCGACTGCGGGATGCTGGGAGTGCTGCTGGAGCGCGTGCTGGTCTCGGAGTTGCGATGCTCTGGTTTTCCGGACGGCGTTCGGCGGGAACAGTACGTCTGCTTGCTGGACAGGCGGAGCGAGCGGGACATGTGCTTACGGGAGAGGTGGCGCTGGCCGTCTCCATAGTAACCATGGCCGCCGCTATGACTTTCTGTGTTACCCATGGCTCAGTATCTACAGCAGACAGAGAAAACACTGGTCATGCAACTAAATATAACTGACCCATTAAGATTTTTTGCACTGTGTTATTATTTGAATGACAACTATTTATGTATTTATTTATTATTTTTTAACACCATGTCATACAATTAAAGATCAAAAACAATATGACAATTAAAGATAAATTTCACAGTAGAGTCTGATTAAGGAATGAATGACTCATAAGCTCACTGGTTCATTTTAGTGCATTATATGATGACAATGTGCAGTTAAAGATAAAGATCAAGTCTGAAAATATATATGCAAATATGAATTAAATATGTTAAAAAAATTTTTTTATATATAATTAAGGTCAGTTATTTGACTGCATTTATGCTGCAGAAAAAAATTTCTTTTTTGCATGAGTCTGATTTATATACATTAACTTTTTACATGTTTTAGTTATGGAAATCATTATTTAAAGTGTACTGTATTATTTAATATTATATTTATTATATTATATAAAAATACATATTATATATGCAAATATATTAAAAGTATTTATATATAAAAAAATCTTATTTATACTAAAAACTAATTACTGTTATATTAAAAATATACATTTCACACACAAAATACATTTTCATATATAATAATAATAATGAATTTATATAATAAATGTTTACACACACATATATATAGATAGATAGAAAGCACACCCCAGGTGGTGATGCAGCCACGACGCGAGTATATAATAATAATAGTAATAAAAATAATAAATACATTTCAATTCAAAATTAAGCAAAATGTTTTATATATGTGTATATAAATATTTATTTATTTAAGTTTATTCTTAGAATTATCCAGTAAGCTTCAACATAACAAAACTTTTCACATTTTCAAAAATAAAATACATTTTTAGATTCATTCTTAGTGAGATCATATTCACTCCAAATGAGTTTCACACATGAATTGGCATAACACCATTAGTTGATTCTGACAGGTACAGTATGACTGTTTCTGAAATGACCTGCGGTGTGCCAATGACATCCCAGTCATGATAGATTTCACTCTGCATACAGATCAGCTCCTACTACCATGCCTTTCGTGGCGTTACGGGTGACGTCCAAAATCTGAAAAAAGAGAACGCAAGAGAGTTATAAATTACTAGTCAAAAGAATCCAAACACAGCAGTTTCTGAGGCAGTACGAGGGGTCGAACTGTTGTGGGATAAAATTAGACTAACCACGGAGAAATACGACAGAATTAGAACTGAAAGAGGGATTAAAGAGATTCGCCGCTGTGGTTGGAGACCACACATGTTCAGGCGCTCTGGACAGCTTCAACAAATGCAAGATGACGGACTTCACTCTGAGCCGCCACATGAGAGGCTGTGCGTGTGTGGTCACAGATATATCAACCCGCGGTTACTGCTGCTTCCAATAAACGCCTGCATGAATGGAAATATAAACACAATGAAATCCAAAAGACACATTTTTCATATGATACGAGAGAGAGGTCCCTTGGCACATGCTGTTGAGTATACTAATGAATAGCATACTTGCAAGCAAAATGATTCAACTACAAACAAACACCCCAAACATTTACATGCTGAAGATAAACTTGCACTAAATTTCCTGACACATACTGATGCGGTGGCATTAGATTCGCATGGAACACAAAGAACTCACTCCACTGAGATTAGTTACATGATTATTCTGAAGTTAAAAACCTATTCATGCATGATTTTCCCAATGGACCCCCTGTGATGACTAAGCATTATTGCACATGTTGATTTGGCAAAAAAACAAAACCCACCAGAAGCAATGTGAACCACCAACAAAAATGAATAATATCACCAGCTCAAGGTCAATGTGGAATTGCAGTTCCAGTCACATGATTTAAAGGAATTGTTCACCTAAAAATGAGCATTTGCTGAAACTGTATTCACACCCAGGCCATCCAAGATGAAAACAGATTTGGAGAAATTTAGCATTACGTCACTTGCTCACCAAAGAATCCTCTGCAGTGAATGGGTGCCGTCAGAATGAGAGTACAAACAGCTGATAAAAACATCACAATAATCCACACCACTCCAGTCCATCTTGTGAAGTGAAAAGCTGTGTGTTTGTATGAAACAAATCCATTATTAAAGCGTTTTTAACTTTAAACCATCGCTTCTGGCTAAAATACGAGTCGTCTATACATAATATTACCTTCTTTAGGGAAAAGTTGTTTCGTCTGAATCAGGAGAGAAATCTGCACAGATCAAGCAGTTTACAAGCCAAAATAGTCCAAAACAGCTCTAAACAAATATGTTGGTGAATTTTGATGTGAGAGGACAACAAGGGGATGGACCTTTTCACTTTAGGAAATATTATTATGGATTGATAATTCACAATTTGTCCAGAAGTGATGTTTCAAAGTTGAAAAGCCTGAATGATGGATTTGTTTCTCACAAACACGCAGCTTTTAGCTTCACAAGATGTTAACTGATGGACTGGAGTGGTGTGGATTACTTGTGGATTATTGTGATGTTTTCATCAGCTGTTTGGACTCTCATTTTGATGGCACCCATTCACTGCAGAGGATCCATTGGTGAGCAAGTGGTGTAATGCTTCATTTCTCCAAATATGATGAAGAAACAAACTCATCTACATCTTGGATTGCCTGATGGTGAGTAAATCTTCAGCAAATATTCATGTTTGGATTATTCAAAATATATCTTATTCTGTATTGCATAGAAGAAAGTAAGTCATTCAGAATTGGATCAACATAACAGTGTGCTTCTTATAGCCAGCAGGAACCAGAGGGATCATATCTTGGAGCGGTTTCAGATTCTTCATTCTCTCAGAGTGGGATCTCTCTGTCTGTCCTGAGTAACGCACCGGAGCAGATCTGAGGTCAGTGTGTAGCAGAGCTGAGAGACGGTAGTAAAGGCTCATGACAGGGCTGCTAACTCAACCGCAAACAGCAGCGAAGCATCAGGACCAGGACGCAGAGTTCTTGTTTGGCAAATAAAGTGCAGAGAAGCTGACAGGAGACGTCTGAGCAAAGCGGAAACAAAACAGGATAACAAGTATTTGATTTGCATGTGTGCTCCTGTGTCTCATGTTTCTCATTTCTCTCACTCCTAGCCAGTCTGTATTAAAAAACTGAACACACACAAAAAAAAAAAATAGGTACATTTATATGAAATATGCTACACGTATTCTCTTAAAACAATCTTTAATATATTGTAAAATAATAATTTTCAGGTAAATTATTCTAATTTTGCGGATGTTTACAGTGGGTACGGAGAGTATTCAGACCCCCTTAAATTTTTCACTCTTTGTTATATTGCAGCCATTTGCTAAAATCATTTAAGTTAATTTTTTTTCCTCATTAATGTACACACAGCACCCCATATTGACAGAAAAACACAGAATTGTTGACATTTTTGCAGATTTATTAAAAAAGAAAAACTGAAATATCACATGGTCCTAAGTATTCAGACCCTTTGCTCAGTATTTAGTAGAAGCACCCTTTTGATCGAATACAGCCATGAGTCTTTTTGGGAAAGAGGCAACAAGTTTTTCACACCTGGATTTAGGGATCCTCTGCCATTCCTCCTTGCAGATCCTCCCCAGTTCTGTCAGGTTGGATGGTAAACGTTGGTGGACAGCCATTTTTAGGTCTCTCCAGAGATGCTCAATTGGGTTTAAGTCAGGGCTCTGGCTGGGCCATTCAAGAACAGTCACAGAGTTGTTGTGAAGCCACTCCTTCATTATTTTAGCTGTGTGCTTAGGGTCATTGTCTTGTTGGAAGATAAACCTTCGGCCCAGTCTGAGGTCCTGAACACTCTGGAGAAGGTTTTCGTCCAGGAAATCCCTGTACTTGGCCGCATTCATCTTTCCCTCGATTGCAACCAGTCGTCCTGTCCCTGCAGCTGAAAAACACCCCCACAGCATGATGCTGCCACCACCATGCTTCACTGTTGGGACTGTATTGGACAGGTGATGAGCAGTGCCTGGTTTTCTCCACACATACCGCTTAGAATTAAGGCCAAAAAGTTATATCTTGGTCTCATCAGACCAGAGAATCTTATTTCTCACCATCTCACAACTCCATGCGGGCTTTCATGTGTCTTGCACGGAGGAGAGGCTTCCGTCGGGCCACTCTGCCATAAAGCCCCGACTGGTGGAGGGCTGCAGTGATGGTTGACTTTCTACAACTTTCTCCCATCTCCCGACTGCATCTCTGGAGCTCAGCCACACTGATCTTTGGGTTCTTCTTTACCTCTCTCACCAAGGCTCTTCCCCCCCGATAGCTCAGTTTGGCCGGACGGCCAGCTCTAGGAAGGGTTCTGGTCATCCCAAACGTCTTCCATTTAAGGAATGGAGGCCACTGTGCTCTTGGGAACCTTAAGTGCAGCAGAAATTTTTTGTAACCTTGGCCAGATCTGTGCCTTGCCACAATTCTGTCTCTGAGCTCTTCAGGCAGTTCCTTTGACCTCATAATTCTCATTTGCTCTGACATGCACTGTGAGCAGTAAGGTCTTATATAGACAGGTGTGTGGCTTTCCAAATCAAGTCCAATCAGTATAATCAAACACAGCTAGACTCAAATGAAGGTGTAGAACCATCTCAAGGATGATCAGAAGAAATAGACAGCACCTGAGTTAAATATATGAGTGTCACAGCAAAGGGTCTGAATACTTAGGACCATGTGATATTTCAGTTTTTATTTTTTAATAAATCTGCAAAAATGTCAACAATTCTGTGTTTTTCTGTCAATATGGGGTGCTGTGTGTACATTAATGAGGAAAAAAATTAACAAATGATTTTAGCAAATGGCTGCAATA